CATTTTAAATAACTAAACTTTATAAAATAACGTGTTTTTAAAAAGTCGCTCTTTTAAAAATAATTCTGTGATGACGAGTCATTTCTCTTCGTCATTGTCAACCTTTGAAATAAAAAGTATCATATACGTAATTTGATTTCGAACTAATAGGAAAGGCATCTTGTTGATTTGGCTTTCTTGGTTTGACGGCACGATTATAATCGTGTAACTTCTTACGTTTAAGTCGTGTATTGTCTGCCACTTAATACATGTTTGAAATAGTTTTTAATTACTGTTTGTTTGTTTATGATATTTGAATAAAAATGTGTGCGAGTTTTTTACTCCTGCGACTTTTTCCTAGTCAAAATTGTAATTTTTTTCGATCACCGATATGAAATTTCGTTATGCATTGCTCCGTGAGTGAAGCTGTATCTTACGAAAGTAAGATATTAATTACAATATTCATAAGGCTAGTCCATGGTTAGATTGTTTATTTCTAATTTTTTTGGTCTTTTTTAGGTGAAATATAAAGATGTATTGTTTAGTAGCTAAATAGTTTTATTGTCGGCATATTGTTATTTGCGTGTTCAACTCGTTTCAGGCTCGTTTCACGCCCTGCTCAGGCGTAAAATATCATGGTCATGTGGTTAAAAGTAATTACGGCGAGGGTTTTTACGTTATTGGAGTCTCCACCTATGAGTGCACTTGAAACTCTTTGCATTCATTTCGTGCTCTGTGAATGGATGATGGATGAACACCTGAAATGACGTCAAAGAGCATTGTGTATATATTTACTTCGTGATACGACTTCAGTTCACATTGAGCCCAAGCTCTGTAGATTTTAAAATGGCATCATCATCATCAGCATCATCAGTTTGCGAAGGTTGCGAGTATAAGTACTGCGATGCAGTGAGCTACTCCGAAGACCGCGTGAAAGAGGAATTGTTGCACCACGGCATCTGGCGTAATTATACCAACTGCCGTCGGTGTGGCAATCCTCTTCGCGTGGAGGACAGAGGCAGATTTCAATGTGGGAAGTATATCCGGCGGCCAAAGAGGCGTCCAGCGAAATGTAGCTGGAGTTGTTCGATTTGGTCAGGAACCTTTTTTCAAAGGTCTCATCTCCAGCTCGTTACCCTGTGGCGGTTCATCCTTTCCCTGTTGATACTGAAACCTCCAAGGCACCAATTTCTCATGGAACATTTAGGACTGGGTCTGGATCTCTCCTCCAGGACCGTCGTGGATTGGTACTCTTTCTACCGAGAGGTACTTATCCACGATCGGTTGTCAACGTCGGAGAAACTTGGAGGAGAAGGAAAGACCGTCAAAATCGACGAAGCCAAATTTGGACGGCGTAAGTACAGTAGGGGAAAGGTGATCAAAGGTCAGTGGATCTTTGGGGGTATCGAGCGGGAGACTCTACGCACCTTTTTAGTGCCGGTGGAAGCACGTGACAGTGAGACCTTGCTCGCGGTCCTGAAGGAGTGGGTGCTTCCCGGGACAACAGTCATAAGTGATTGCTGGAGGGCGTACGAACGTCTTCAGAATGAAGGCTTTCGTCACCTGACAGTGAATCATACTTATAATTTTGTTGATCCCTGGACGAAGGCCCACACCAATACCATCGAGAGGACGTGGCATGAGGTCCGCTCGAACATTCCCCGGTACGGAAGGAGGGAAGCGCACGTGATCGGATATCTGGCCGAATTTCTTTTTAAGGCCAGATATCCGAAATCGACCGAAAGGACACATTATTTTCTTCAGGCCGCTGCAAATNATAATAATTAAATTGAATTATATTATATTGTATATAATAATTGAAACTTTATTAAGAGATGCATTCAAAAATAAACATTAATGAAAATTACTTCTTCCTGTTTTCTTACATAAAAGTATTTATTTTAATTCTGAACACTTTTAGTTAATAATGAGCTGAAAAACTTTTAACTTCTTGAGTATTAAAATAAACAGTTTTAGAATCTCTATTACAGCAAGAAATAGTGAATCTTGGCAATTGGAAAATTGAATTTTAGTTTTAATGACAAATCTTGACATTTTTATAGTATGAAATTATCTTTGAAATTTTAACTATTTAATGTTGCTTATGCAATCTTATGTAATTTTTTATATATTAAAATATATATTGTTTTGAAAATGAAAAGAAACAGCATGTATTTTGTAATAATAGTACATAATTCTAGTTAAAATACAAGCTTAAAATTAGGAAGATATCTCAATCACTTAGACCTTTTCCATCCCAGAAACTGTTTATTAGAATTTAAGAATGTTTTCAGCCTTCTTGAAAAGCCTGTCTCGGAGTATTGCTTCACAACATTAAGCGGTAATGAGCAGGAGTGTCAAAAGATGTTGACACTCCTGCAAATTTATATGGTCCAAGTAAAAAAATTATTTGAAAATTTGAGTTTTTTATGGATATATTACTTTTTTACAAAATAAAGAACAATAGTTATTGCTAAGTATTTTATATTACATTAGAGCATAAAAAATAAATTGTGAGATGGCGTCAGGACCCATAGAAGTTAGAGCATCATCCGCCATCATCAACCCTGTAATGAACATTAGAACATTAAGATTTCGAAGTAATATTCTCACTGAAGCAGACCTTTTCAAGCTGTTCAGAATCAAATAAACAGTTGCTGGGTTATTAAAGTGTTAAATTTGTGATTGTATAATTCTAGTGAATTTTAGAATTAAAATAGTTTTTTCATTTACAGTTTATTTGAAAAAAGTTATTTAATTTACAATTTAACAAAATTTTATGACAAAAACAATATGCATTTCTTCAAAATACATTAACAACAGTGAATTTATAAGACCTAGTGTACATAATCTTTAAATTATTAAATTAACTGACAAAAAACATAAAAATGAATGTAACAATCAACTATAAACCTGAAATAATTTTATACTTCAAAAAATATTCCAAAATTATGATTAAAAGTTTCACTGGAATTTCAAGCCACTTTCAACAAAAACTATTTAATCATCACTATTAAACAGGGTGGGGCAGAGAGATAAGAGATTTTCAAAGTTCATTTTTCCGGGTATTCGTGACATGGCACAAGCTTGCTCACTGTTGCTGTGTTAAGGGTATAGCATTTACTAAAACAAACAATTGCCATAATTAATCAGGCTATTATTATGGTATAATTAATAATTAGTACAAATATATTGGGCTTCGGGATGTTGATATATATGCATAGCATTTAGTAATCATGAACCAGTGGACAGATGCTCAATGTATATTCACTATTAAGAAATATTATAAAAATAATGATTGTATTAGGGTCACTTAACAGAATAACTGTTAAGTGACCATAATACAATCATTATTTTTCACCACCAGTTCTACATCCATTGAAATAAATCCAGTGCCATCCAGACATGCCATTATGACATGTATTAAGAACTTTGAGGAAACTGGTTTTCCAAAAAAACAAGCCTCCAGGTGCAGCAAGAACTGCATGTAACATAGAAAATGTCAAGAATGTGAGGGCCACCATCAAATGTAGTCCATGGCTCTCTGCATGCACACCACCATGCAGTTTAACGTTTTTGACACAAGAATTAACTACATTTCCTCTTGTTGATGATCAGACATCATTCCAACAAGATGCAGCGACTGCTCACACAGCCAGAATATTCATGACTGCTATAAGACAGTTGTTTTCCAGTCATGTCATCTCCAAGAATGATGTCTTCTCCTGTTTTGTTGGCATGTTGGTTTTTTGTGGGGGATATTTGAAAAGCAAGGTGTACATTAACCTTCCACACAACATTGCCAAGCTCAAACTCTTAGAGAAGAAATAGCCAGAATCCCATTGGAAATGTTGCAGCTTGTAATGGTTGATATGCACTCAAGAATAGATAAATGTCTTCACAGAGATGGAGGTCACCTCAAAAATGTAGTTTTCAAAAAAAAAATAAAACTTTTATATTACCTTTAAGCTGATATATTTGTAATTTCTGAAATAAACCATTTCACTGAATTATTGAGCTTTTATAATCTCCCATTTCTCTTCCCCATCCTATATCATGCAATGCATCTTCATAAATAAAATCAAAAACTACATATTTTTATTTAAATTTAGTAGCAGATCTAGCTAGGAATATTTGAAAATAACTATTATTTTCAAGTACACATATTTCATACCAAAACTATAGAAATATGGTAAGATATCTCTGAATGAGGAATTTGCCATCCCAGAGTGATAGAACCTCTGGAAGAGTAAAAGTCAATGGAACCATATCTATACACAGGTCTTTGCAAGATATTCACCTCCAAAGGTCAGTTTTTACCATGAACCAGTATACCCCATGTTCCACATGTAGTTGTGTGCTTTGGTGCCCACACCTCAGTGCCTAGGTGGGGTTGAGCCCCGTACCCTCCTAAAACTGTACATAAAGTACTCCACAAACAGTCAAATGAGCTACTCAAAGTCGGTATAATCACATGGGTTAAATAGTTAAATGTAATAGTTTAGCATGCAAAATGCATGCAACCTGGAAGGAGGCTGATCTCTAAGGGCTGTATCCTTCAAAGGGTCACACGTAGAAGTATAAAAGGAGTAAAAAAAATCAAATTCTAAAGAACGAACAAATAAACAAAGTAAAGTAAATGCAAATTGCCATGCAAAATAACTTTTTTCGATGAATAACAGTAAATTTATTTTAGTAATTTAAAATCGATATTTTCAAATGAAAAATACTTCTCAGCTTACGTTTAATAAACATAAATAATCAAAAAGAATAAAATTTCCTCATTTTTATTTGTGTATGGTGCAAAAACACATCCTTCGTTTCTTGACAGTCACTTTTAAATTTACTTACGGCAAATTTCCTGTTTTCTCTTATTACGCCCTCTTGTGTTATTTATGAAAGTGAACATTATAATTAAAAATACTGTATTTATGGCATGTAAGACGAGGTTTTTATTCATTTTTCACTGCTTCAATAACCTAGGTCGTCTTGTACGCGCGAGCGAACAATTCATTTCGTTTTTGCAATAATTTTTGTAAACTGTATATTCGCATTTTTTACAGGATTCTCACCTTCTGGTGTTTAAAAACAAAAGTATTTTATCTGGGTCGTTTGAATCGTTCTTGTGTATTATCAGGAGTAAAGATGAGTAGCAATAGGAAAAACAAAGCTTTTCAATTGAATTTCAAAATTACACGGGAGCCCGATGTAAGTTTTAATTCGTTCCCACGTAAAAACAGGTGATTATTTGGAAATCAGAATTCGGATAAACTCATAAGTGTAATCGGCAAAGAGTGAATTCGACCGTTAGGAATTGGCACAAAAATAAAGGTTCCCAATAATTGTCCAGCTTTACATGAACAAATTATGTTGTCGATTTTACAAGATTTATACTTGAAGTTTAAAATGCCAATAATTTTTGCGGGACAATGTATACATTTACGCGCATTTGATATTTTATTTGTGATTAAACGAAATAAAATTAGAATTGTATTAATAAATCTAATTTTCTTTATTTTGATCTTTAAAGTCACACCTCGTCCTATAATCGAGGTCGTCTTATATCCCGAGTAAATACAATATTTAAAAAAAAAAAGGCGAAATAAAGAAATTTTATTACTAAATTTTAAATCTTGAAATTATATTTATTTCACACAAATTACTTTATACTTCTACAGCTTTTTTTAAAAAATATAATATAAGGTTTAAGTTTTAAAGTATAGATTTTTAAAGCTGGAAAACTAAATACATAAACACTAATATTTCTTAACATCTGGATCTAGACGAAATCATCTATCGCCCTTTGTCCTCACAATCGAGGCGGTAAAGACCATGGATCTCTAGTATGTAAATCAGTATTTCTAAATCAGTGTAAAACAACGGGGGGCGACAGTGCCGGCCCGAGGCAAGTTTTAGGATGGAGCGAGATCCTATTATGGAGCCTCCCTTGGTTGCCCTTAATTTATATCCTTTAATTTTCTTTACCACTGAGGCGCCCCCTAGCACTTAGCGCCTGGAGCGTCTGCTCCGTTCGCCCTATGGTAGGGCCGGCTCTGGGGGGCGATATCGTCCTCATGTGGGCGTTTTTCCATGTTGAGGGGGGCGATTAGTAACAATTTATATTTTGGGGGCGAAAAACAATTTTCTGGGCGATATAGTAAAACATTACATTAAGAATAATTGGATATTTTATTCGTTATATCATACAATAATTAAACAAATAACATTACACTAGTCACTAGTCTATTTAATGCAGTACGAATTTGGCGTTAGTCTTGGCCCTCGGCATCGAAATTTTGAAGTGAAGGGGGCAATACTACGTTGAAGGGAGCGACGATTCGTTAGAGGTTGAGAAACACTGATCCAAATGAAGACAAACGTTATCTAGTAACCATGGTCTACACCCTGAGCGAGCATTAATATCAATTTCTTCCGCATCATGTTGCATATGCAATGTTAGCTTTTTCCCCCGATCCGAAAAGTAAACTAAGCGCGTTTATGGGCTGAAATTTGAAAAAATTGTAGACCTATAAAATTCCGCTACCGTCCGTCTATCTGTCTTTCCTTAATCTCGAGAACAAAATTGGATAGATGAAATCCGAGAATAAATGTGGAAACCTTAGGGGCAGGAGGCCCCGATTAAGTATATATGAACTTCCGATGAAAACTGGAAGTCAGGTTATTTGCAATTCAAAAGTTCCCCTGAAAGCGGTTAATATATTATCGACACGACTGTATTGTTAAAGGAAAAGTATGATGTACAGGGGCAAGCCAATACTAATTTGAGG